TGACGCGTATGGACGGGTGTGCAATCTTCGTGGGGTGAACCTTTCAGGGAATTGCAAGACGTGCGTCCCCTTGTGTGAACACCCTCTGAGGCCCCGCTTTGTCTCACGCTACGCCCTTTCACAGACCCGTTAACGACGATAACGCCACGTTTCCTGCTGGTGCAGAGACTGTCACGTTTGTTGGACGTCCATTCCCGTTGGACGAGGCACCCCAGCATCTCGCGCGACTTCGGCGTTGGGGTCTCACCTTCGGTGCGTTGCCATCTATTTTCGGGCCTTCTTCTTGGCTCATATTTGGCACCTCCCTTTTCTGACCTTCACCGATAAGTCCGTTTCCTCATCACCTGGGAGGCCGTCGAGCACGGTGGCCCGTATGTCTCCCGTTGTCATTTTACTTTGCTCGGTCCGGCTGATGGACTGTGCGTGCCTGTAGGGGTATTTATGATGCTTCTTATCTCTCCTACCTACGCGCAGTTCTCTCGCTACTGCCCCAGTTCGGCCTCACCGCGTTTGTCGCAGTGCACCAAGACGTCTGGTCGCGCTACGCTGGTGGGTCTGGCGCGCCAGCATGGACGCTGGAGCATGTAGGCTTCGACCTGCACGCGCTCGAAGAGAGCGGCGCGGCATGGCTGCGTGGCGTGTGCGGTGGCGGTCACTCGGAGGCCGAACGCGGGCTGTGGCCATGCGGATACCAAAAGCTCGCCGCGGCGACCATGGCGTGCGTTTTTTGTCGCCACTACGTCCTCTGGTGGCTGTCGCTGATGTCGACCCTGTTGCACAGCACGTGCTTCTGGGCTGGCGACACGTTCGCTCCGAAGCTACGCGTGCGGGACAGCATCCCGATACAACGGTTCCTGCAGGACGCGTTTTTGGACATGTGGGAAGCTGTTGTGCGCGCCGTCGGCGACCTTGACGGAGTTCTCGGTTTTGAAGTGCGTTCTCTCACCTGTTGTTGATCGTGCCATTCTGCTCACACGCGTTGTGGTTAAATGCGCATAGATGATGAACGAACCACATCGCGGATACATCGATCTCCCATCGTTGCACAAGTTCGACTACAATACGGACCTACACCTAGGCCATATTCGTGCGTGCACCTCACCTGCTTGCGCCGAGAACCTATAGCTAACCAACTTGGCATATTCTCAGCATCTGCCCTGCAATCTTTCCTCCTCGGTGCAGGCCATTCAACCCCTGTGGATTGCTGGACGCGCTCCTTTCCCATGCCCACAAAGCGCACTGGCCAAGAACTTCTCAACTCCCAGGGTCGCAGGGCCTGGCGCAAGGACGGCCCGACTAGTGGTCAGGATCTGTGGGAAATGCATGGGGTGTGGAAATGGGACAGTGTCAAGAATGCCGGAGTGGTGCTTCACGAATCTTATTTTGTGAAAGATCCTGCCTCTGGTCGCAAGGTGCGCCCTTTCTTTCGGTGTTAATTAGCTCGATGAGTTGAGGCAACGCAGGTCGACTGGTACACGGATTTTTATTACCCATTCTTGAAGCGCTGGACAGAGCGTGTGCGCGGAGCCATTGCAAATGGACGTGGCCACGAAAAGCTATTCTTTACAGAGCCAATACCCAATGAGGTGCAGCGGTGGTTGACTTTTATTACCACCTTGCTTACGACTTCGCCAGTTCTGTCCACCATCATGGACACCACAACACCAACCCCCAAACATGGTATTCGCGCCCCACTGGTGAGTACTCTTTCTTATAACCCTGCCTCGTCCATTTTCTCATGGGAGTGGAGTCAGGTACGATCTTCGCGTCCTGTTTAACAAGGCACATGGCGAATTTTCTGTCAATGTTCAAGCAATCTCACGCGTATGTCTCATTGTTCCCCACTCTGCTGCACCGTTCTGACATGAAACTCAAAGGGTGCGAACCCGCTGCGGACTTTCTACTGGGGCCATAAGGGAGCGCGGGATAATTTCGCCGCACAGATCCGCACCCTCGTGGAGGCTGGTTACCGCTCTCTTGGCGAGCGTCCCGTGCTTATTGGCGAGTGCGGTGTGCCAATGGACATGAATGGCCGCACAGCATTCAAGTCTGACGACTGGACATGGCAACGGCGCATGATGGATGCGATGATCACTGCTCTTGAGCGGGCCAACATTGGCTTTACGTACGTAACAATACCTTTCGTCCGACTAAACCCCAGACGTAAGTTCTGATTGTCGTTTTTCGCTGCTGGTCTGCAGGCTGTGGAATTACAACCCGGAAAATGATGATGCGCGGGGCGACGACTGGAATGGCGAGAACTTTTCATGGTTCAGCAACTCGCGGGCGCCGCTTCGCGTTTCGGGAAAGGCGCTCGCAATCGCGCAGGACGCGAAAGAACTCGACCTGGGCGGGCGCATCCTTGATGCAGTCGTGCGGCCATATGCAGCCAAGACGGCTGGTATACCATTGAGGTTTGGGTACGAACTGGCGACGGGCGCATTTTCGTATTCGTGGGCTGTGCCGCCGTTGAGCCCAGGCCCAGGTCCAGGCGAAGAGGGCACAACAGCCCGACAGCGGTCACATATTAGCAAGCCGAGCGCACACACGCCACCGATCACTGGGCACCCGCCGCTTCTCGCGCGAGAGACGGAGATATTCGTGCCTGCACAGTTGGCGCAAGGCCGCAAGCTCATCGTTGAGGGTCTCAGAGACGGCGACACGTATACCTATGATGCGGCGCGCCAGACACTCTTCGTGTTGCCTGGGGTGCAGATTGGTGAGCGAGGGAGCGGTCCGGTGCTGGAGCACGAAGTGAGGGTGCGATTCGATCCGCCTGTAGGCGGAGAAAGTCCGAATGACTTTTGGAGTGACTTTGCGACGCCCGTCACCACAGTGTCGGTCGTTTTATTGGCACTGGTTGCATACCTTTTTTTGGAGCGAGTATAGATGCGCAGAACAGATAGATAGAAGTTCATATGGTAAGATGGTGACACATTCGTAGATAATGAATACACCTAGTCAGTAACACGGAAAAAGTATGGAGCTGTCCTCGCCCTAGCCGAAGGCCAAGAAACAGAGAGCTTTGATTTGGTCACTTGTGCCCTAGCTGTATGCGTGTGCTTCAATTGCACATGGGGCCAAATGACCCATCGCGAGCGCTTGCAGGCTTGCACACGGTACATTCATATCCACAGAGCCACTAGAAGTCTTCAAATTATTTCTTGAACATGCGATTATTCAATGGCGGCGTAGACAGATGGCGGTTTCAGGTGAACAAGGCTTGAAGCTTGAAGCTTGAAGGCTCCTCTCAGACTGCTAGTGGTGGAACTGAGCTGAGGGACGAGCGCAGTACGGTACGTTGGAAGGTCTCATATTGCTACGCCATATAGCACTGCACTACTGTAGAGAAGAGCAACAAACCCCTTAATAACGCGTCGCATCAAGCACGATGATTTCAATAATTCCCTCCTACCGCCACGCCTACCGCTCCATTCTTCTTCGCAACCCAGCATGCCATCGCTATCCCCATCGCGCATTCTCCTCGATGACTTCTGCAGCGGCAGGCGCTGCGAACCGAGAGGGAATCGAAATGCCGTCCCTTAACACCACATTTCCCTACCGTTGGCTCAGAGACGCATGTACTTGCCCGTCTTGCGTCCATCCCTCAACCCAACAGAAGTTGCACCGCTCTTCTGACATACCCCGGTCTGTTGCACCCGATACTGTCGAGACAACCGACGACGGCGTATATATCTCTTGGATCGGCGCCGGTGCGGACAGACCACATCGATCCTTCTTCCCGCAAGCATTCCTAGCAGCCCACGCGAGCCCCGCAGCGCTTCGCTCGTTCCACAACGACATCCATGCCACGTTATGGCCCACTGCTTCCGTGCTGCTTGCCACCTCCGGCGGAGATCTCGATGTGCGCTATGACGACCTTGCGACGCCACGCGGGCTTCTGCGCGCCATCACGCAGCTCCAGCGCACGGGCCTCCTCTTCCTCCGCGACGTTCCGTACACCGACACGAGCGACTCGGGCTGCGAGCTCCGGAACCTGGCCGCGCGCTTCGGCGAGATTCGCGAGACGTTCTACGGCGCGGTGTGGAATGTCAAGAACGTCGCCGAGAGCCGCAACATCGCATACACCAACCTTTTCCTCGGACTTCACATGGACTTGCAGTGCGTACGCTGTTGCAATTTTTTTGTCCTCTCACTCTTTCTTCTTCGCTACCGATATCCCGCAACGGGGTGACTCGGGACATCTCTGAATGGCACTCACTATCCGTCCCACAGGTACTTCGAGTCCCCGCCGCGCTTCCAAATCCTGCACTGCTTGCGCAACCACATGCGAGGCGGCACCTCCCTCTTTGTCGACGCCTTCGCCGCGGCCCAGGCGCTGCGCGCGACGCACCCTGAGGACTTTGCGCGACTCGTCACGACGCCCGTCCCGTTCCAGTACATCAACGATGCGCGACACCTCCACCATGCGCGTCCGACCATCACACTAGAACCAGCTGCGCCCCACGGCGGTGACGGAGTAGAGCCGCGCATCACTGCGGTGAGCTACAGCCCACCGTTCCAGGCACCCCTCCCACGCGACACGCCGCATGGGTTCTACGACGCGCTGGCGCATTTCGCCGCACTTGTTGAGGCGCCCGCTGCCGTGTACGCCCGGCAACTGGGCGAGGGCGACGCAGTCGTGTTTGATAATCGCCGTATCCTGCACGGACGCACTGCAATCGAGGACGGGTCTGGTAGCGCATGTGATCCCAGTGGCGAGCCGAATCGGTGGCTCAAGGGCTGCTATTTTGAAGGTGATACCATGGCAAGCCATGGGAGGGTGTTACGTGCAAGAGTGGTGCATGGTGAGATCTGATATCTTTCTCTGTGGTACTAGATTGCTATACTGTAGACAGACAGTATCTTGTGTAGATAGGATAAATGGATGATGACCTGGGTCATGCCCTTTCTTGCTCTTGTTTCTGTTTGCTTTGGACAAGATAATTAGGAGGGACACAAAAAGGGGTAAAAAATGTAAAATCTGGTCTACAAACCTATGGCCAGTAGCTCAAGTGGTAGAGCACCTGCTACATATCCAAAAGGCCTGGGTTCAACTCCAGTCTGGTCCACTTTTCATGCAATACCTATGCCTTGCTTGATGCCATGCTCTGCAGCAATGGAGAATTGAAAAATGTAAAGAACACTGTCTGGTGACATGATGAAGGAATTCAATGGGGGCCACCATTGCATGGGATCTAACATATATGTTAAAAAGGGTTGATGACTTTTCAGCGGGAAAAAATAGAACGTCTTGGGAAGTGTAGTTGGCATCAGTTAATGTCCATGTGAATGGGCAAAAGGTGCCATTAAAATGCTCCAGTTCCATTTCGAAGACGCCTAAAGTTTTGCCAGACCAATGCATGCGCTCAACGCGCGCACGCACCTTACAATGACATCCCGCGATTCCCTATTTATTCGGCTTGCGTGACGGCAATTTCTTTTCGTTCGAGTCGTGTGGTCCATGAGGGCATTATTTAGGTGTATTTACATACCAGGTCCAGCGGCCCAATAATATTTACAGTATATATACCTGACTTGAGGATGCTCCTTCACAGCTTCACCTGCCAGCGATCTCCGGAATAATTTCAAACATCCCATATGGGTCCTTCTCGGAGACCTCGCGGAATCGTCCGTCTACATCCGGGACTGGAATAGGGAAGCGGTGTCCGTCTTGCTCTGTAACACCACATGGCGCGGAAAAAGGGTAGAATTCGTCAGCCAAATGGCAAAACACGAGCAAGGCGCGGGCGCAGGCGAAACTATGAAGTGCTCACTTTCAGTCGGTGTCGGGGCAAATTGGAATAGATAGATCATGCTGGGCTCGTCCACGCATACGCCGCACATGCTCATACTCCAGTCGTCCCATTCGACCGCGACGAGACCGCGGGAGAACTTCTCGCGTATCTCGCGTGGTAGCAGCGCGAGCTGGACAACCGCGGTGGGGCCACGGCTCTTGACGGCCGCGTCGAGCCACCCGCGCTCCGCCTCGCCCGCAGCGCGGCGCTCCACGTCCTCCGGCCGGCAGGCATCAGCCGCGGGTGGCGCAACGAAATCTGCGTACGCCCACAGGTCGTGCAGCGCGGGCGTCGCGCGCCGGTCGCCGGCCTGGCTGGCGAAAAACAGCGGCCGGGTCGTCCCGGGGAGTATGCGCAGGTTGCCGAGGGTCGGATCCGCGTTGTACTTGTACGAGATCACCTTGAAGAACGGGCCGTACAGCTGGAAGTGGAAGGTCGTGTCCCGCAGTGAGGCGGGTGGCATCGCAGGGTGATCGACAGCCAGTGCGTCTTCCGAGCCCACTTCGAGCGCTTCCGCGACCTGACCGTCTTCCTCGGCAACACCCTCGGCTGCTGCTGCCGCTGCTTGTATCTCTGCCTGTTGCCGCTCGCTATCGGGGCGGAATTGGCCAATTTCGGTCTTTGGTATGCGCTCGGGCCACATACGGAACTGTTTCGTGAACCACGGGTCTCGCATGACGACAAAGATCGATATAGGCGGTGGCTCCGCATGTGCCGTCAGTGCTGCAGCCGCATCCTCACCATCAGTGAACGAGGGCACGGCAGAGATGGCGACATGCAACACGGTTGATGCCGTCGGAATGGTGCGAACGGAGCGCGGATAAGCGACTTGCGGCGCGTCAGGGACTTGGGAGGGCTCGCTGTCGTGAGGAATCTTGTATAACTCGAGGGCCAGGGGCATTGTGGCATCCTTTCGGTCCGTGCGCACGACGAGAAGCTCCCGCTGAGGTGCGATGATGCGGACGGCACGAATGTCGTATGTGAGTAATTCCTGTAGCAGTGCATAGGTGTCTAACTACAGAATAGAGGGGGAAGTGGACTAAAATCTCACGTCAGGGAGGTCCGGGACTTCCTCCTCGGATCCAAAAGGTGCGCCAACTACTCGGATACGGTGGACGTTGCGTGATACCAAGTTCTTGAATAGTATGAGCCGCGCTTGAACAGCGATCACGTAGGGCGTGCCGTCGAGCACGTCGATGTCGGTAAAGTCGAAGGTGGTGTTGGAGCGGATAACGGTGACTCTGTGGAAGGGCGGTAGTCGAGTATCGATGCGCGCTGTGTATGCACTTGATCCTGGAGGAAAGCGTGGATCCTCGGCGACGTGGAGGGAAGAGAGGGGACAGTGGATCACGTTAAGTTCATAGCGTACAGGAACAGGGAAGTCTATGACGTGATCTTCGCTATAGTCCGAAACATCAACCCTGCAGGGAAACGTTCAGTTCAGTTAGCGAAGGTATGTCAGCACGAGAGAGGGGAATAATTACCCAGCCTTACGATCCGAGCTACGTTTAGGCTCGCGACGCACGTAGCTGATCATGATACCCATCTCCGTCTCATAGCACATATATTTTGCATCGAGCTTGTACGCTTTGGAACAGATAGAAATCTTTGCCACCGGATATGCCGTCTTGACGCGATGTTCCATCATCAAGAGCATCAACGCATACCGATTCGCTCCTTCACGAATTGATGCAACGACGTATTTTCCGCCGGGTACTATCTTAATGGACATCACGTCTGCGAATACGCAGAACATCCGAGTTTTATAAGCTTGAGGGATGGTACTCCGCCAGTTTGCTTCTGCGGCAAGGGCGCGGATGACCAGACGTTCTGCCTCAAGGCTGCTGAGAGCATGGAAAGAGTAGGGAACTGTGGGAGGGAGGGGTGGCAGTGGAAGGTGAAGCGTGCGCAGGATGCGCTTCCAGACCATTGGTTGGTGTGTTAGCTCGTACAATCGTCTGCATACCTATGATCCATGATATCAGTATAGATGTGACAATAAAAACGGCAAGGTCATACCGATCGCAGACGCACAATGTCCCGAACGCAGAGATGGTCGAGAATCAGGTCGACGAGGGTGTCATTCGGGAGAGACAAAAGTGTCAACTTCCTGCGCTTATTCGCAAGGCGTAGCACTGTCCGGCGTATGAGACGATGCGGTATCGAAAGCATTGTGAGATGAATGACTCTGAACCGACCTAAGCCGCGAAATATTAAATAGGGCTGGGCACAAGGGAGCGGGACGAATAGCCTCGTATCCAGGCCACTGCTTTTCTTTGAATCATCGTGAAAACAAAATAAATGGGTCCAAGATGTGCAAACGCGCGGTCAAAGCCTGTCATGCACCGCCCTCGACCGTCACCTGCCCCTGCCCACGGCGACGACTTTGGCTCTCCTTCTCTCTCTCCGCCGCCATGTTTAATTGTCTGCGCTACGCTTCACACCCCGTCTTACTCTTATCACAATTATAAGAGCCCTGTCAACCCTGGCGCCGCCTCCTCCGTCTCTCTTGTCTTTTCCCAAACTGCTAGCCCATCAACGCTGTCTCCATCACTCCAACGTCACCTCCCTTCGCTACGCATGCACCGCCTCCCGCCTTGGACATACCCCCAGCGGAGGGCCCTCTCCTCCAGTTCATGACAAATACCATTATGAGCGTCAGCGCACGTCCCGCATCATCTCTCGCATGGTCCTCTGGGGGCATTCCATTACCCGCGCCCCGCGGCCCCCGCCACTCGAGATCAGGTCGCAGAAGCGCTCGAAGGGAGTCCAGATGGCTCGGAAGACGCCCTGGCTGTCGATCACTTCCTGCTACCACTGCGATGCCACAAGGAGAGACCCGCCGCCTACGCCGCCACCCGTCCCACTGAGGGACACGACCTTCCGCTCCAGCTGTACGGTCCGTGCTTCAAGATCATCTCGTACGCGTACAGCGCGAATGCGGCCCTCGGCAACCTGCGCATACTCCCAGGGACGAATCGGCGCGCGACGCCCGCGCTGCACGACCTGTGGGCGTACGCAGATCTCGTTGCGCCGTGCGGCGGACGAGGCGGAGCGCGATGGCGACGCGGCCGTCAAGAGGCGTAAGAGCCCCGCCGCGCGAGATATGCGAGAAGTTCTCACGCGGCCTCGTCGCGGTCGAATGGGACGACTGGAGTATGAGCATGTGCGGCGTATGCGTGGACGAGCCCAGCATGATCTATCTATTCCAATTTGCCCCGACGCCAACTGAGAGTGAGCACTTCATAGTTTCGCCTGCCCTGCGCCTTGTCCGCGTTTTGCCCTTTGACTGACGAATTCTAACCTTTTCCTCGCCGCGTGGTGTTACAGAGCAAGACGGATCCCCATTCCAGTCCCGGATGTAGACGGACGATTCCGCGAGGTCTCCGAGAAGGACCCATAACCCATATGGGATGTTTGGAACCATTCCGGGGAACGCTGGCGGGTGAAGCCGATGAAGGGGCATCCTCAAATCAGGGATATATAAATGTTATCGTGCCGTTGGACCTGGTATGTAGACACACCTAAATAATGCCCTCATGGACCACACGACTCGAACGAAAACAATTGCAGTCACGCAAGCCGAATAAATAGAGAATCGCGGATGTCATTGTAAGATGCGCGCGTGTGTTGGGTGGTAAAACTTGGGGCAATAAGTCGGAGTCTCGGTATCACAATTCAGGCCAACTTTGGGATGATGCGGGTTTTGTAAGTAAGGGGTTTGTGCTATCCACTTGTCGGCTCCTATCCTCTCATCTCATCTCTCCACAACATAATTTGTCCAAAACCGAAGGCAAGACCCTTGTAAGAACCTCTTTCCTACCATCAATGGCACAGACAGAGAATCCCACATCCTCAAACCTTACCTCTGTCGTCCGCGAAGATGTGCACAAGTGGGACCTACTGGAACCCACTGCGAGACTCTCCGAGCTGCATGCCAGGTTTTGGGGGGATAGTGTCGCGGACGAGCGGCGAGACTGGTGGAGTAACCATCAGGGTGAGGTCATGGTCGGGAGTAACGAAGTTGATGAGGACTGCTTTGTCCTCAATTACGATTTCGGTCTTCTCGATCGTTCCGTACTCTGGGTGCGGAGGGATTATGTCCGCATCTATGAGTATTGTCACCAGCACTGTGAGCGTGCAAAGAACAATCCGCAGCGTATCGCGCCCTCCTTCATCCTAACGGGACAACCTGGAATTGGTGAGCCTTCTTGTATTCTTATCAGTCATTATCTGTACCTCTTATTTGAAAAGGAAAATCGTATTGGATCAGT